ACTACCTAGAGCTATATGGTCCCACTGAGAAGCCATCCGCTAAAGCTCAGGCAGCTGCAATCTTGGGTGATGTATGCTCTACCATCGAAAAGAAAGGCCTGTGTTACACAAGAAACCTCCAGCGTTACAGGGACAAAGGCATGCCTTGGTTAGAAACCAGCATTAACCGCCTGCCAAAGGACATGTGCCCTACCGACACATTAACGGCTCTCACCTTCATCAGCGCTGTAGGCCTGATCCAAAATGGAGATTACATCTCCTTCTCCATTCTGGCAAATTTGATCGCAGAGCTGCCAATCACCCAACAGGAACTACAACGCCTACACATCCTGTCTCCGCTACTCCTTCTCAACTCACCCAAGGTCCATCGACTGCATAATTCTGTACCATATAAGGTACCAATATCTCAGCCACTACTTGACAAACCTGCAACTACAGATCGTCGTACAAGGACACCATCACCCCAACAATCTGACCCTGACACCTACCAGCAGGAGGAAACACAGGAACAGATGATAGAGAGAGTGCAAACAAGAACAGTACCAGCCAACATGACAAGATGGACTGATGAAGAGATAGGCATCAGAGTAAGACATTTGTGGGTTTTCTGTAACCAGCTCTATCAAGCCTATCTTAAAAAATGTAAGGAACTTGGCAGGCCTGCACGCACATTTGGAACATTCAAAAGAAAGAGGCAGCGCCTCCCTTAAGTTTTTTTTTATTTTTATTTTTTACTTTTTTTGGAGTATAATTTCAGTTTTATTTCATCAGCCCATCACTAAGTCCCTTTTATATTTCCAGGACATCCAAATGATTTGCAATTTATCTTGGGTTCCTGTTTGGAAGTGCAACGCCCTTTGGTAAATATTTATTTTTTGGGAGGTAATTTGCTTTCGTTTTCCTTTATAGCCTCACCCATACAAATCACAAGTCCCAACAACATACAGAGGGGCGCACTACCATATCTCGGCGCCTTGTGGCTCTAGAGAGACGGGACCATGTGCAATCATCTCCCCACCCCCCAATTAGTATATATACATAGTTTCCGCCCCTCTAGGACGAAACAGTGTGGAGATATCGGGGGGGGCACTTCAAATATAGGGGGTGCACTACCGTATCTCGGCGCCTGGTGGAGCTAGAGCGTTGAAACTAAGTGCAATCGACAGGGGGTTTCAAATAACTTGTTATTATTGAAAATCATGTTTCTTCATTTGTACCACTCATGTTTCTAATACAGTTATGCTCTTTCATGCCTACTGTTGTTTTTTTGTGACAATTATTACACTGACACACATAGACACTCGTTTACACACAGACATGCACATACACTAGGTCCCAAATCCCTGTGTATGTCACTTAGCCCCACCAGGTGCAATCGACAGGGGGTCCTCTAATTAGTGTATATACCGAATTTCAGCCTCCTAGGACCAAATTTCGTAAATACCCTTATTACCCTAACCCTCATCGATGATGTGATGTGCTCAGTATTTCTTTCTTCGAAGAAACGTGCACTACACTACACACCCTAAACTTACCAACCACTTTTGTCGTGGAAACCTAAGAGAGATAGCCACTAGTCTTCTGAACCCTGTTTGGGAATTTTTTGCATTAGCAAAAAAATATTTCTGGGCCTCTGGAAGCTGCAGATTGGTGGCCAGTTGGGTCGAAGGACTGTGCATAAACTGTAATTGGACTTTGTTCTGATTACTGGTTTTATAATCCCTAACCAAGCCAGTGCCTCCTCTCTGGGCCTCTCTGTGGTGACTAGAGTCCTGGATTTATTTTTTTGAGGATGCAAAAATAATAAAAACAGTTTGTAACAATACATTTATTTTTGAAGCACAACATGTTTGATGTTTAGTGATTTCGTGTGTGTGGGGGAACACGCCCCCTTAGAAACAGTACATACATGGCTGCTGTAGAGAATTCCAGCCATTTAGTGTTCAGAGCTCGCCTGAGGAAGGATCACAGAGTCCGAAACGTCGCGATAGGCTTGAACACACAACGTTAGGCCTCCATCATGAGTCTGGGTGATGTAGAGAGCCACACAAAAATTATTTCCTTCATCTACATCGATGATGTGATGTGCTCAGTATTTCTTTCTTCGAGGAAACGTGCACTACACCACACGCCCTAAACTTACCAACCACTTTGGTCGTGGAAACCTAAGAGAGATAGCCACTAGTCTTCTGAACCCTGTTTGGGAATTTTTTGCATCAGCAAAAAAATATTTCTGGGCCTCTGGAAGCTGCAGATTGGTGGCCAGTTGGGTCGACGGACTGTGCATCAACCGTAATTGGACTTTGTTCTGATTACTGGATATATAATCCCTAAAGTTATGGATGAAACGTCTTGACACAATTTTTCCAAGAGGCCTTAATGAGACGTAAGTTGCAAGTGCAGGCTCCTGTCTTTATGGAGTACTTTGTGGTTTGACCTCTTTTTGGTCCCCGGCTCCTCCTCTTCATTAATATTTTAGTTTTTCCAGGGTTGACCTCTGACCTTTGGTCACCTAGACTATCATTTTTGTGTTTATCCACTTTGCCTTTTTTTCTACAGGAATGAACTGCACTACAACTTACCCTAAACCAGGGGTGTCAAACACAATTCCTGGAGGGCCGGAGCCCTGTAGAGTTTAGTTTCAACACTGCTCCAACACGCATACCATGTAGTTTTCAAATAAGCCTGAAGGACTTGATTAGTTGGATCAGGTGTGTATAATTAGGGTTGAATCTAAACTCTGCAGGGCTCCGGCCCTCCAGGAATTGAGTTTGCACCCCTGCCCTAAACCTAACCACTCACCTCTATCAACCCAAAACCTACCCCTCACAATTGTAAACCAAATACACTCTACTCCTACAACACCCAGAACTTACCCCTCATCCTTTTAACCCTCTTTAAATTAACCCTCCTAAATTTACCCCTCATAAACATTTTAATTCAGTTCTTACATTTTTATCCCAACACGATGACTCAGTTCCACGTCGGGTCCTTTCTCTGAGCTCTGGACCTACCTGAAGCGGCCGGTGGGGAGAAGGACAGCACAAAACCCGGCCTGGACTCTTTGGGGCCCAGGCTTTGGTTTTTCATCCCTTAACCCTAACCCTTAACAGCCCTGGCCTCAACAGCCCGATGTTTAGCCCTTAATAATGAAACTACTGTGGCCTGCCTTGGTCTTTGTGGGATTTGGGGGAGATCAGCGGTGAGATGGACAGTTGCACAACCCAGTTTGGGACCCTCGGGTCCGAACCTGGGAAATACTCTTCTTTCCTAACCTTAACCCTCTCAAGCACTATTCGAGTTATATACAACTAGATTGATCTATTGGTAAAATTGGTCAACTAGGAAGACTTAGCTTAACACCTTAAATCGTGTTTACCTTTAAAAACCTATATAAACAAAGCGCAAAAAATCTAAAAACATGATTCGAATGTAGACAGATAAAAATAATTTTCAGAGACATAATTTCAACAATCCATATTTAAATTCAAAGTTTAAATAGTATTTTTGTGAAACTAGGTCATTTACTAAGACGTGCAGTGATGATGTCATCACGTCAAGGATACACACTGGCCGGAGGGCATTGTCTCTCTCATTCGTTCTGAATCACTTGAAGGAGTTACAGCTGGTAGATCGATACTTTGTACTGATTGCCTTCTCTACGACATTTAGAAAGCCTGAAAAAGAAGCGATTGAGCTTCGAAACGTCGCGAGTGTACTAAACGTCGTAATATTAGGAATTCCTTTGCCTTGTTTTGATTCCCGTTTCTTTGTTCAACCGAGATGTATGGCTTTCGAGCGTGAGAGGAGCAGAGAGCAGCTCCGAGACAGCGTGTCAGGATAATAGACCACCTGGTTGACTGTAGGAACGAATCCATACACAGACATTCAAGAGCACTTAATCGTGCTGACATTCTCCATCACCGAGAGCGGTTGAAAGATTTAGATCTTCCTTCTAGAGAGTATTACATCGATTCTCACCGCCACCGTGATGGGGAGGTCCCCACAGCAGCCCGTTTTCGGGCTAACAAACCTGATACTTGGGGAAGGAAAGGGAGACGAGGAAATCATCGTCCTCCCATGATTTTTGACTTCATTCCCACTCAAAAGGACCTCGATGAAAGGCATTTCAGGAAAAATGCAAATGCATATATACGATTTGACAACACACAACAAATACAGAAATACTCTTACACAAATCAGCTTGTCTATGGAGACCGTTATCTTTCTCCAAAAGCTATGAATAATTCTGAGCGAAAAAAAGACTAGAAAGGGCCATAACAAGAAATACAGGGGGCCAGTGCCCCTTTTTAATCACCCTGATCCCAGTACGAACTACATGAGGCCTAACAATAGGCTCAAAAAATATATTGTCCATCCACAAAGATGTAGAGATTCGTTTTTTGAAAGATGCACCCTACCACAGCTTAAACCTACCATTATTTTGGTGTGCAAGCCTACAGGGAACAGCCCTTGTCTTTTTAGCGCTGTTTTGGGATTTTTCACAACAATTTTAAGTGTTTTTTGGTTGATTGAGGCCTCCAGAGTTGTGTGGCCCAACACAATTTTTTTTTAAAGACATAGAGTGGTGGCCAGTTGATGTATACGAAGGACAGTGCATAAACCGGGTCTGGACCTTGTCCTAGTCCTTGGATATACAATCCTAACCAATCTGTAATTTGTAATGTTGATATTTATTAAATCAGTTTTTGGATTCTCCATTTCTAGTTTTTCAATAATTAGTGCTTGCTTGAAAGGAACCATTAGGGATTTCTTTCTTTCTGTCATTTAGTGCTTTAAACCTCACAGTCGGCTGTGAATGGCTCTTAATCGGGATGTGAACAGGCCAATAATGTCAGTTAAATCACTAAATAAAGGCCCGATTGATCAGTAATAATTATGAAATTATGACTGTGACAGTCATGATCACAATCATGATGTTGATCACAGTCATGCTGGAGTCTCTTGTATTGGAAAAAGAGTGTGATGAAAGTCTGAACTTCATCAAAACATCAAGAGATGCATCTCTACTGAATCCACAAAAAAAAAAAAAAGCCTCAAAAGAAGGGCATCTTTCTCTTTTCTTTCATTCATCTTCTCTTTCTTCAAACACTATTCACTCTCATTCCTCCATCACACTCTAGCCCTATTCGCACAGGATTAGTATTATCTGGGGACCTTGTGTGATTTTGAAATTACCCCCCCACATCTGAATTTCGTGTGGTGCATTCGCACGGGATAAGCGAAGCCGGTGATTTTACTTGAATTTACTGACTTGTCTCCTGCATACGACGTCAAGGCTTTAAGAGTCCCGTTCTATGGGATGGTTAGATGGATTAAAAAAGAAACTAATGTAGTTTCGTGCCCTGTGTCATCCTCAAAAAATGATATACGACCCGCCAAATGCTGGCCGAATCACAGAGATTCCGATTCGCACGGGACTAATATTATCACAGGACCTCAGTGTTCGGCGAAATATGGTAGGTCATTTGCGGGGGATTTTTTACTTTACAAATGACAGACATGGCCGATTCGCAACAATTATTACAAATGACTGGAGGTCACCAGGTAATACTAATCCCGTGCGAATAGGGCTTCTGACTCCTTTTTCTTGTCAGAAACAAATGGAGCTTTTCTAACGTCTCTCATTGATGTCAAACACCTGCCGACACTAATTAAACCTCGTTAAGATCAACTCATTAACTAGCGCTTCACTTGGTGATGGAGAAACAAAGCTTTTTCAAACTCTCCATCAATTGAACTGAAATGATTCAGTGTTTGGAATTGCTGGAGATGTCTGCTGATCAAAACACTGGAAATGCAGTGAAAATTCACCACATACATAAATATAAATTGCACTACATTCCAACTGCAAATGTTTCATGATATTAAATGTAATATGTAAATAAATGATATTATTAAATATTAAGGTTGTAAAATGTGTTACTATTTTGTAGTGCTTGTTTTGTGTTTTATTTGGCAAACTAGGTCAATTATAAATAATTTAAATATAGTTCTCCTTTTATCTATTATACACCATAGACTGTATAAAAACATGGACGTAGTGTCCGTGACATCCCCTGTAGTTTTCTGAAGAGCGTTTTTAAAGCTCTAAATTTTGGCAGCTCCCAGATAATCGAAAATGGGCAAAGAGGCGGGAGCTGGTTGCTGAAACCACGCCCACCTAGCTCGACAGTGGTGACCGTAGCGGCAATCCACCTGTCACTCAAGTGGCCGCGCCCTTAATTATGCAGAACTTTAAGGTTTAATATAATTTAAACGGATGAGTCATAAAAAAAAATTCATCAAGGTCATCAAGGGCAAAATTATCTATATAGACCAAAATAATTTTTTTTGAACCAGGCTGTAAACATGTTTTTTTCTGCTATAAAGACCAAAATCATTTTTTGTTCCAGGCTGTAAACATGTTTTTTCTGCTGTAAAGTTGGGCATTTTAACATGGGGAGTCTATGGGACTGACTCCCTTTTGCAGCCAGCCTCTAGCGGCCAGTCGATGAATTACAGTTTTAGTCACTTCCGTGTTGGCTTCACGAGAGAGAGCGGGAGGTTGCCGCTTGTTACACACACACACACACACACACACACACGTAATTAAATTCATTAAATCAATTAAAAACAAAAGTTTAAGTCATCAGACACTCATTCATGTGTCACCAGATCAACATTTCTCATTCTGAAATGTTTGGAGAGTAACGGTTGGAAACAGTGTGACATAACAAAGCCTCGTTTGCTGAAATCGCGTGATTTGGTGAGTTTGAATCAAGATCGGTGGCCTGTACCACGAAGCGCGATAAACAAACTCAGAGTTGCAGAGTAAGTTTTGAGTCGACAAAACCCGATAAAGCCAACGTGTTCTAGATCAGGATCAGCAGGCTGACAAACCTCAATATAAATGTACTCTGACAACTCAGCATTTGAACCAGAGTTTGTGATTGACACCTCAACGTGTGACACGTGCAGCAAACAGCCAATCACACGGAGCGTGGAAAGCATCAGCTGGATTCACTTCTCGCGAGACTCAGCGCAGTTTACTTTTCTACTGAAGATTGAGATGTCGTTATTAAAAATGTAATAAATGTATTAAGTAAGAACATTATTATACATAAAATACAGTGCAGTCAGTTCGGACGTAGCACAGTGCTCATTCAGTAAATGCACAGCTAAACAGATG